GACTGTGGACTAGACCACGGTGTATAGGGTGTATTCCTGTTTGCTGTATTTGTTATTCTGCCGTCACTGCTTTCTACTGATAGATCAAGATGGGAAGAAGAAGAAGAGATGGGATTTATACCCCGCCCTTCACTACTCAGAGGAGTCTCAGAGTGGCTTACAAACTCCTTTACCTTCCCCTCCCTACAACAGACACCCTGTGCCCTGGGAGGTTGGTGAGGCTGAGAGAGCTCTGACAGAAACGGCTCTTTTTCAAGAACAGCTCTTATCAGAAGTACGTCTTGCCCAAGGTCATCCAGCCAGGTGCAAGTGGAGGAGTGGGGAATCAAACTCAGTTCTCCCAGATTAGAGTCCGCGCACTTAACCACTTCACCAAACTGGTAGCCGTGTTCGTCTGCCTGTAGCAGTAGAAAAGCGTGAGAGTCCAGGAGCACCTGAAAGACTAAAAAATTATGTGGCAGGGGAGGAGCCTGCATGAGTCATGGCTCACTTCTTGAGATATGGCATCTAGAATGTGAGTCCATCTGTCCTTCTGTCTTGGAGAGTGGAGTGATTCTTCACAACGGTGATGGATTTCCACTCTGTATGACTAAACGTTGTGCCTTCCATGGAGATGGATCGATATGGGTGTTGGATTCTCTGGACTAGGTACTGCCAGGGAACCACAGAAAAATAGCATGAGAACATAAGAACATAAGAGAAGCCCATGTTGGATCAGGCCAAAGGCCCATCCAGTCCAACACTCTGTGTCACACAGTGGCCAAAAACACCAGGTGCCCTCAGGAGGTCCAGCATTGGGACCAGGACACTAGAAGCCCCCTCCCCCCACTGTTGCCCCCCCTTTCCAAGCACCAAGAATTCAGAGCATCCCTTGCCCCAGACATAAGAACATAAGAGAAGCCAATGTTGGATCAGGCCAAAGGCCCATCCAGTCCAACACTCTGTGTCTCACAGTGGCCAAAAATACCAGGTGCCATCAGGAGGTCCAGCAGTGGGGCCAGGAGGACACTAGAAGCCCCCTCCCACTGTTGCCCCCCCCCAAGTATATCCCTGTGCGCCAACTATAGTTATCATTTGTTGGCTATCCCACCTCTCAGAGGTGTGCATGCGCTTATGCCCAGAATTAAACTTTCTTGGTCTTAAAGGTGGCCTTGGACTCAAATTTCGTCTTGTGGCTTCAGACCAACACGGCTACCCACCTGAATCCGTTTAAAGAAGTATTTCCCTTTGTCCTCCCTGAGTCTACTGCAGGCACATTATTTTGTGGCGTGAGTCCATCTCGCGAGCCCCTCCCAGGTTCTCAGCACCCTGGTCAGAAGTGCTCCGGTCATTTAAAAGGTTAGAGTTAAATATTTAATATTGTTATATCTGATCTATTACTGTACATGTGCGTGTTCGGTGCAGCGGTGCAGAGAGTATGCAATAGTCATGAGGCTCCGGTGATTGATGGTAATTGCAAGTGCGGCTTCCCGCGAGCCACAGAGTGAGCACCACGGCCCCGTCAATCCAGAAGAAAAAGCTGTTAAGATTCAGTATCAGCAGTTTCTGATGTCACACAGAATACACTTAATATAGCCGACAGTAGCAATAAATGTTGGAGGTACTGCGCTACTAGAGCAGGTTTTAAATAGATCTTTGGGACATGCCCTGAAATTAAATCTTTCTGGACCGAGTACCTGGAATTACAAGCTACAGACCGCTGATTAATCTTGCAGCTGATATTATGCTGCCTTCTTTTACATCTTGAGTTAGGATGGTGCTAAATCTAATGAGGAGGTAAAGATTTCAGGATCTTGATCAAATAGTGAAATCAGTCTATAGGATTCCACTTGTGAAAACCCTTCTCCAGGTTTTGGGGAAACTATTGTATCGGGGGGGGGGGTCCTCGGCCTTTTTGAGCCTGTGGGCCCCTCTGGAGTTCTGACACAGGGCGGAGGGCGTGACCACAAAATGGCTGCCAAGGGAGGCAGAGCCACACACGCACCCAAGGAAGTTCAAATGCAGGGGGAAAGAAGGGTAATTTAAAAAACGAGACAGCAAATAAAACCAACATTGTGGTGGCAGCTGCTGCTGAAGCAATGTTTCTTTAACCTGCACTGCCAATCAGATTGCCAATGGCCAATCAAAAGTGACTCTACCCACTTTCTGAAAACACTTGGCGGGCACCAGATAGGCTGTTGGTGGGCACCACGTTGGGGACCTCTGTACTATATGGTACGGAACAACTGTTTGTTGGAACAGCTATTATATGGTCTCCAGGTGTGCCATGTGTTCCCTGTTTTTAATACAGCATTGGGGAGGAAATCTTGGCTACCAGATTTTAATTTTTTTTAAATATAATACTCTGCAGGAAAGCCATCTATGCCTGGAGTTCCATTGTTTTGCACTTAGGCGTTCCTTTTTGTTGACAGTTCTGTCTATAAGTCCCATAGGCTCAGTGGACACGGTAGTGTTCAGATATTCTTCTAGGAATCTGCTTATTTTATCTGGTTCATCTGAAGTGTAGGCCACATCATAATACCTAGCAAATTCAGATGACTTGGACAGATTACATATCTAAGTTTTAGACTTTACTGTGACAATTCATCTCCTGCTCCTTTTTTCCCTTTCCCCATCTTATCCCCACAATAAGCTTGAGAGGTAGCAGAAAAAAGTTTGAGTCCAGGGGTACCTTTAAAGCCAAAAGAGTTTTATTCTGGACATAAGCTTCCGTGTGCGTGCACACGTCATCAGATACATTTAGAAGTGTGCATGCACACAAAAGCTTACACCCAGAATGGCCCCGGTCACACAGGCCGGATATCGCGGGGGGGGGGGAGGCGTGGCTAATTGCCCCGGCGCAGTTTGATGCGCGATTACGCGATCAGACGCACCGGTGGCACACCACGGGTCCTTCCCTCGGCACCGGCGGGTAAACGAGGGACCGGAGGGGAATGCCGCGCCGGCGCGATCACACCACGGTCGTCTGGAGGCAGCCCGTGGCAAACGTTCACTAGTACCTTGGGGGAGACTAGTTTTTTAAGGCGCATTGTCAGCGGTAAGCACCCGGTGCGCTCCACTTCCCAGACGTTGGGGTGTGATCGCGCCCGGATAATCCGCCCACCATCCATGCCTCTCCCGTGGCAACTCTGCCGTGTGACCGGGGCCAATAAAACTTTTTGGGCCTTAAAAGTGACACTGGACTCAAAATTAGTTCTGCTGCATAATAGCATAATAGGCCACACCCCCTGACAGCACAGCTCATTAGCACATTAGGACGCACCCCCATGTTACCAGAAGTGTGGTCATCCAGCCACACCCACCTTTTGCTTGTTATTCTGTTTACCTTGTTTGTTGTCAAAACCCAGGGCCTTTTTTTTTGTAGCAGGAACTCCTTTGCATGTTAGGCCACACACCCCTAATGTAGCCAATCCGAATGAGTGTCTGCTGTTGGGTGTGGCCTGTTATGCTAATGAGTTCCTGCTGGGCGTGGCCAACTTGGGAGCCAGCCGGAACTCCGTTCCTGTGCGTTCCTGCCCAAAAACAGCCCTGCTGCTGCTTCAGACCAACGTGGCTATTCCCCTGAATCTATCTGGTGGGGAAGTTCCGGCGGAGAGAGTGGCCAGCCCAGGAACTCTCCGTGAGCTTCATGGCAAAGTAAGAACTGGACTCGGGGCTGGGGCTGACACTCTTAAACACTACGCCACACTAACTCTGTCTCCCAGAAGAGCAAGAAGGCTGCTCACCCGGCAGTAGGGCTCCTTTGCTTTTATGTCTTTGGCAGTGATGAGTTTCAACCCTCGGACGTTATTCTGTAGCCCTCTCTTGTATAATGCCTTGAGCCTTGGAATTTCTTCATGCTCGACAGCAACGATGAGCTACAGGAAGATACACAAGATAAGCAGGCTAACCACAGGGTAAGAATGCAACCGAACTGCTTCTGCTCAGAGCTTTAGCGCACACCTGACACTGCTCAGGAAGGCAGGACAACAGGGATACCATTTTCCTTGGGAATTAAAAGTCATAGACAGAACAACTGAAAAGGCTTGACCTCGGGCTGGAGGTTCTGAGCTTCAGCAACCTGAGTTCCTGAGAAGCAGCAATGGGAACTGATCCAGAACGACAGAAATTTTTAAGTAATGCTGCCTCGTGATAACTTCAGTTAATCAGGAGCTTCAGATTGTAACTCCTCGTGAGGACTGATTTAAGTGTGATGCGGACAAGGCAGATGTACCTGCTCTAGATCAGAAAGCAGCCTAGTTTATACAACATAAGAATGTAAGAAGAGCCCTGCTGGATCAGACCAGGGGTCCGGCATCCTTGATAATCAGTTCCTCTGGAGGACCAACAGCAGGGCACAGAGGCTGAGGCCTTCACAAGAACCTCAGAAGAGCCCTGCTGGATCAGACCAGGGGTCCATCTAGTCCAGCATCCTAGATAATCAGTTCCTCTGGAGGACCAACAGCAGGGCACAGAGGCCGAGGCCTTCGCAAGAACCTCAGAAGAGCCCTGCTGGATCAGACCAGGGGTCCATCTACTCCAGCATCCTGGATAATCAGTTCCTCTGGAGGACCAACAGCAGGGCACAGAGGCCGAGGCCTTCGCAAGAACCTCAGAAGAGCCCCGCTGGATCAGACCAGGGGTCCATCTAGTCCAGCATCCTGTCTCACACAAGAGTGGCCAACCAGTTCCTCTGGAGGACCAACAGTAGGGCACAGAGGCCGAGGCCTTCACAAGAACCTCAGAAGAGCCCTGCTGGATCAGACCAGGGGTCCATCTAGTCCAGCATCCTGCCTCACACAGTGGCCCACCAGTTCCTCCAGCTGTCCAAGAACAGGGTATAGAGGTCGAGGCCTTCACAAGAACCTCAGAAGAGCCCTGCTGGATCAGACCAGTGAAGGTCCACCTAGTCCAGCATCCTGTCTCCCGCAGCGGCCCACCAGTTCCTCTGGAGGGCCAACAACGGAGCAGAGAGGCCGAGGTCTTCCCCTTATGTCACCTCCTGACACTGGGATTCAGAGGATGAGTGCCTCTGAATGTGGAGGGTATGGGACTACAGAAGCCGACGTGTGAACTTCTCCTGGGATCCCATTTAAATCTACAATAATGGAAGAGGCTTCAAGTAAAGAGCACCTACCGTACCTTGCCGCACTGCTTATACGGGATTCCCTTTGTGTCACAGTATTTGTAGCAAAGGGCAGCGCCTTCCACACACAGCTTTGCTTTTAAGGATCCCGGCGTGTAATAAATCCCGCTGTGAATGACCCCGCTGTTGTGTCCACTTTGATGGCGAGCTAAAAAGGAGAGGCATTGGAAATGGTGAGATGTCTATCTAGCTAGTACATTTAAACCCCGTCCTGCTTCCAAGGAGATCAGTGGGGCACATACGGGTTCTTCCTCCCCAAATTTAACCTCAAGCACCCTGTGAGGTAGGCTGAGAGGGAAAGATAAAGAGACGCAAAGCATGTGGCTGCCCCAAGGTCACCTTGCAAGCTCCACGAGTGTGGAGTGTGCAGATTTCAAACCCAAGCCTCCCAGGTCGTATTCTTACACACCAATCTCTACACAGCACTGACAGACAAGAAGAAACTTAGGTTAAACTTTGTTCTTTTGGTAGTCAGACAAATTACACGTACTACTTTAATGGCCTGGCTCTTGATGAGATAGAAAACCTTTGTCTGGGTTCCAGGGGTCATTTCGTAGAAATAGAGGTGCATAACTCATTAGCATATGCCACACCCCCTGACATCACCGGAAGTGTGTCAGATCATCTTCTATTGGGGCCAGGTGTCATTTCCTGCAGGAGTGCACAGGACCTGAACAAGGTCGTGCAGGAGGGAGAGCTTGTACCTGAATAAAACTTGGCCTTAAAGGTGCCACTGAACTGTTTTGGACTGGGGGGGCGCAGGGGGGTCTCTGCAACTTCTTGCTCTGACTGAGGGCTGCTGGGAGTAGGGGGTGAGGCTTGTTGCATGTGCCCGCCCCCTGGGCTCTTTACTGCTGGAGCTCCACTCCTGTGCGCTCCAGCAGGAAATGACTCCTGCTGGGTTGTATTATTTATTGCCTGAGTATTTAAACATTTACACCCTGCCTTTCCTTGCAGTTCAGGGAGGCTTAGTTTGGTGTAATGGTTAGGAGCACGGACTCTAATCTGGGAGAACCGGGTTTGATTCCCCACTCCTCCACATGCAGCTGCTGGTGTGACCTTGGGTCAGTCACAAGTTCTCTCAGAGCCGTTCTCTCAAGAGCAGTCCTCAAGAGAGCTCTTTCAGTCCCTCCTACCTCACAGGCAGTGTTCCCTCCAAGCTGAGTTAGTGTGAGCTAGCTCACAGGTTTTTTTAGCTTCTGGCTCGCATATTTTTGTCTTAGCTCAGGAAGGATGGCTCCAGAGCAAACTAATTTATGCAGTAGCCAAATCACTCGCTCACAAGACTCCACAGCTTAGAGGGAGCATTGCTCACAGGGTGCCGGTTGTGGGGAGGGGAAGGGAAAGGGATTGTAAGCCACTCTGAGACTCCTTCAGGTAGTGAAGGGCGGGGTAAAAATCCAATCTCCTCTTCTTCTATAACTTTGGAATGAAGCTGGAGATTCATATGAAAGAATACTCCACGTCTAGTGGAGGCTCCAGTCTGCCCTGTCCAATGCCACTGATACAGCCAGACTGTAAAGGTCAGATAGGTGGACATGGAGGCAGAAAAAGTGAGCCAGCTACGACCAGCCAGAAACTAAGATCACAGGGAGAGCCTCTCTTGACTGTCCCATTGATCAAAGCAGCTCGCCTGGTAGACACAGGAGACAGGGCCTTTTCGGTGGCAGCCCCTACGAATGTGGAACAACCTCCTTGGGGAGGTTTGGCTCTCAGTTAGGCTGAACATGTGGCAGAGCGGAGAAGGATGAGCCATTCTTGCTGACTGAGGAATTGCTAAACAGTGGGTTCCGTGGACGAGCAGGCTCGAGTCTACTGATCAGCTCAACTTTATTTGCGATTCCAGCAAGAGCGAGACAAGACTCCAGAGCCACACCCAACTCCCAGTGATAGGCTATTCACATAACTTTACTACTAGATTGGTTACTTTCAGAATCCTGGCAGGCTATTGTTCTTGTGTTCCAAGCTCAGCCAGTCTCTGGGGTGACTCCATCAGGGACGATTCAATCCCAGTACATAACAGGAATAGTATCGTGCCCAGTTGCCAATACAATGCCAAGTGAGTCTTGAATCTACAACCACTGGAAACACCACGGAGAGGGGAAACTACCTGGTGACCTTATTGTTCCATTAAACACCCAGTGTCCGCTTAGTAGTGGCTACAAGAGCAAACTCCCAAGGTGACCTTGAGTGAGCCCTCTTTCTCCCAGTCTCAGGCCTCTGTAATAATACTGCCCTATCTGATGGGGTCATCACCAAGGTCACGGAAGTAGTAATTATACAGCACTTTGTGTACCTACACAAAGGAGAGGAGGCTTATTATTCAGAGGAAAACAATAATTCAGTCTCACACACAGCGTGAGGTTCAGACAACATAAGATGGGTCACACAATAGTTCAGGGGTGGCCAAACTTGCTTAACGCAAGAGCCACACAGAATAAAGGTCAGATGTTTGAGAGCCACGAGACACAAACAAATACTACACACGTCTTTATTGAAAAAGAGGCAGATTTGCTTTTTATTAACGTTAAATGAGGCTGCCAAAAATAAAAACAAAAGGGGTGAAAACAGATATTGGTAATTACATTTATTTGGCTGATGGTATTTATTTGTTCTGAGAGAAAGAGGTGGAAAGAAAGCATGAAAGGGGTGGAAAGAAAGAGAGAGAGAGAGAGAAACAGAAAGCAAATAGAGGGGGGAGGGAGGGAGGGAGAGGGGAAGAAGGAAGGAAAGGAGAGAAAGAGAAAGGAAGAAAGAAAGGGAGGGAGACACAGAAAGGGGGAAAGAAAGCAAATAGATAGGGGGGAGGGAGAAGTGGAAAGAAAACAACAACTTTAAATGTGTCCTCCAAACCTCCCCCCACACACCCCTACACTGGCTGGCTTGGTTTGGAGAAGGGATTTAAAGAGACAAATGCCTTCACCGGCCGGGGGGGGGGGGGGGGGTTGAGAACACATTTAAAGTTGCTTTCCTTCTCTGATCCCTCCCCCCCAAGCCTACCCAGGGAGGGGAACACTGGCTAGGGAAGACCGATTGGGGAGGCATGCCCCTCCTTCGCTTCCCCAGCCACCCTGCCGGGAGCCGCACAACATGTGTGAATATTTCATCCTGCAATATTTCATCCTACAAGGGTATCACGCAGATGAAGCCTTTGTGAAGTCATCCATACCGCTAACATCTTGTGAAAGGGGAAAAAGATACACTTTGGATGAACTCAGTCTGGTTTTCCTTGAAAACAGCAGGAAAGCTCACGCACACCACAGTGATCACACACTGAATCTAAAAGCCATGAATCTATGCACAGCATGTCTGTTAGCCCGATGTTAACGGCCTTACTGCAACAGGGTAAATGTGCCCATGAACTGATTGTAGTCATTGTCTCATGCCACACAGTCACTGACCACGCAACAATGCAATGGCCACCGCAATTAGCAAGCACAGTCCAAGAGGAATTGTGCAAGCGGTAACAAAGTGGACGGGTGTACAAAACAGGGTTTGCAGATGGAAAGTTCCTGATGGATTATACCAGCTTTGGTGGTGGAACGTGCCGTCAACTTACAGCTAATTTATGCAGACACCATGTAGGGTTTTCAAGGCGAGAGATGTTCAGAGGTGGTTTGCCACTGCCCGCCTCCCCGTCACAACCCTAGAATTCCTTGGAGGCCTCCAGTCCCATCTAAATACTACCCAGAATTAGAGATGTGAAGGCCCAGGAAAAAAAACGGAAAAAATCGGGGGGAAAACGTTTTTTTTCCTGAAGCCTTTTTTCCCCCCGAAAAATTTGAAAAATTGAAAAAAGAAAAGTAAAAAAATTGATTATGGAACGTTTTATTTTAACATGATGAATAAAATATTTTAAGACAAGGTGTTCAAATATTTTCCAAATCATTTCTAAAATATATATATCTGGTATCAGATTGATCTAATTTCTGTGCACTGAGGACAAGCAAGTCCTAGGTTACAAACTGAACTCTCCAATGCAAGAACAAGATGCATTTCTTCCTTTAGGAGGTGCTATTGTAACAAGAAAAGAAAAAGGTTTCAGTTTTGTTTTTGCATGTGGGTGGGTATTCTGTTTGTAATAACTGTTTGGCTACACTATATTTTTAATATGCTAGTTGTGATAATTTCATGCCAAGTAAAAATGTCCATAGTCATATTTTATGTTCCTAAAGTAACAGAATGACTTTCAATCTAGAAAAGACAAAAGAAGTGCTAATGTAGCATTTTTTCCCCATTTTTCCAAAAATTTCCGCTTTTCCCCGAAAAAAACTGGGGGAAAACTGGTTTTTTTTCCGAGCTTCAAAAATTCCAGAAATTTTGCATCTCTACCCAGAATTCTGCCGAAGAGGTTCCGGAACTCTGTTCCAGTGTGTAAAAAGAAAGCCCTGCCTATGCAAATCATGGTTTGATGTAGTCTGAGTTAAACGAATGCAAGTTGCTTTGTCAGATTCAGACGTGGAAACAAATACAGTTTCATACCCAGTTCCTCCTCCTTTTCCAGCACTGCAAAAACGAGGGAGGGATGCCGCAGAATCAGCTCCCGGGCCGAGGCCAGCCCCACAATCCCGCCGCCAATCACGGCTACGTCCAAGGTGCTGCGGAAAACATGTTTGGAAAGAACACTCTCAAGCCGTGCACTCCACGCTTTGTCAAGAGCTTATTTCAGCGATGAGCTAGTTGAAAAGGGCTGAATTATTTACACACACACTCTCCTATTATTATTTATATATTATTTATACATGCTCTGCTCAAGGAATAAATTAATAAGGGTATATCTGGAGAGACTGGGCTATTTGGAGTTTTTAAAAAAAAATGCAAATAACCAAATCATAAAATGAGAGTCAAAAACAGGCGATCACGTTGATAAAACCATCATCCGTTACACTGTGTTCCGGGCAAGAGGCAGATACCCAAACCACCAAATTCCAAAGGTCATGCATCTGACTTCCCTGTTTTGAATCCAGCTATCCAGCCTAATGACTTCAAAACCCCTCCGGAACGATGGTCCCAACCAAGGTCCCCTCTAAGCTGAGTTAGTGTGAGCCAGCTCACAGTTTCTTAGCCTCCGGCTCACACATTTTTGTCTTAGCTCAGGAAGGATGGGGCTCCAGAACAGACTAATTTATGCAGCACCCAAATCGCTCGCTCACAACTTTAGTGCCCGTAGCTCACAAAGCAGCATTCTTGCTCACAGGACTCCACAGCTTAGAGGGAGCATTGGTCCCAACTGCATTTTGTTGCTCTAATACCCGGCGCTAACTGGAGACTATAAGGCAGGGCTATGGTTCGGTGCTCAAGACACAGAAATCCACTAGGTCAGGGTTCCCCAACCTGGAGGAGGAGGAGGAGGAGGAGGAG